ATGAAGCTGGTTTTCAAAATATGCTGATGGCGTCGTACCAGGGGGTTGGAGGCCATGTAAAGATGTCGCCGCTGGAGGCCGATCAGAAAGAAATAATCAACGGTCCTCATCCGCGAGGAGCGGAGATGAGGCCGGTCTTCGAATATGGAAAACACACTGTGTCGATAGGCCGGTCGTGATGTAATGGTGTCGGCAATGAGAGGCCGATCAAGAGTATCCATACAATGGCTCTCATCCGCGCACCGCGGGGATGATACCGGTCTTCAAAAGGGTCACCATGCCGAGCCAGGAGGGTTGGTTGGGGTGAGAGAAAAGTCGGCGCTGGGAGGCCGGTATGGAAATCCAAGGGTCTTACAGGCGCCCTCTGCCAATGGTGCTAGTCATGCCGTTCATGTGGCATAAAGTGATCATCCACCCGTAATCAAGAATGTGTGAGGGTCTTACAGGCGCCCTCTGCCCATGGTACTTGCTCTAGGTGCCGAACGGTGGAGGCCAGATTGGCAATCATGGAGCGTGACCTGAAAGCTCGTGCATCGTATAGCCCATAGGGCTTCTCTCCCTGTGTCGTGATATTTACACATTTGTAGTATCTTCTTTTCTCGATCGACCATGATTCCTCCTACACACTTGTAGTTTTTTTTTTGACGATCGTGGATGTCCTTGCGTTTCCTGATCTTCCCGTCCGGACTGACCGAACGGCTCTGAGTGTAAATATTTCTTCTTTTCGTTGCCATTCATGAACGTCTCTGCGCTTCCTGATGAACGTCATGAACATCTTTGTGCTTCATGATTTCCCCGTTCGAGCTGATCGAATGACTGAATGATTGTGACTTGTTCTTCCCATTTCCAGTCATGAACGTCTACGCGCTTCATGCCGAATCGTCATGAACATCCCTGTGCTTCATGATCTCCCCGTTCGAGAATATCGAACTGTTCCGAATGAATGTGATTTTTTTCTAGTTTCGGTCATGAACGTCTCTGCGCTTCATGCCGAATCGTCATGAACATCTTTGTGCTTCATGATCTAGGAGAAGGGCAAAAATGTAATCTGGAATCCTATTTAGGGATAAATAAACTTATACTCCTGTTTTGGATTTTTGTCAATGTTTTAGTCTCATTTTGGATAATTTCTTAATAAAAAAGTACCATTATGTGAGAATAGTAGTCTCATTTTTGTCAATGACCCGTTCATGACCTTTCTATAACCAGTTAATCTTACATATCAATAGATTTTTTTCGTCTCATTATGTGAGAATAGTAAAAATCATCTTGACCACTCACATGCATCTAAAACCAGGGATGGATTTGGGGGGGGGGGGCGGGGGGGGGGGGGGGGGGCGGGGGGACGACCGCCCCCCTTGGACATTCAATTTTTTTTACCATATATGTAATATTTTCATAAAACTTTCATAATTTAATTAGATTCGCCCCCCTTAGCTTTTTTAATTTTCAAAATTAGTATATAGTCTTACATAATGTAATACTTAATTGGAGATTTAAAAGAAGAAACATCTAAAATAATTTACATAACTTAAACAAATAAACAATAGAGTAACTCGTTATTTAAGATTTAGGATACTTATTATATAAGAATTCATAGTTTTGTAATGTTTAATTATCTTTATTAGATAACAAGTACTAGCTAGATTTTGTAAAACATATATTAAACAATATTAAATACCAGACACACTAATTACACAACTTTTAGATCACGTGAAATGAATCCAAAATATAAATATTTATAGACATTAGATTACATAATTCATTTACTTCTTGCTTTCTAAAAATAATTTATTGCATGGATAATAAACTTTAAATTATTATAGAATTAATAAAAATATTAAAATATAATATGCACCATATGTTTGTGTGTATGTGGTGCATATTATTCTAAAAATAACAAAAAAACACTAACAAAAAAAATTCACCCCCTACACTAGCGAAAAATTTCGCCCCCCTTGACTCAGAATCCTGGATCCGTCCCTGTCTAAAACGTTCATACTACGTATAATATGTCTAATCAAAACATTTATGGTTGTTCATTTAATGGTAACACGTAATGATGCTTAAACGTATTAATCCACATGTTGGTAATTTTGATACTTTAAGTATGAATAAAAAAATCATATTTTGAGAATTATGTACGGTAATGACATCTGACTCTTAGTCTCTTACAGTTTCGCTAATGTGGATTTGTTTGATGTGTTTCGTCCACAACAAACATCTATAGGAAAAACTATCAAATAAGCCCTCGTACTATACCGAAAAAGTCGATTAGGCCCTCGTACTTTACAAACACTCAATTAAGTCCTCGAACTATTAAAAAACGTTCAATTAAGCCCTTTTGGTTGGTAAGTAACCGGTTTCCCGGTTAAACGGCAACAACGGCGACGATGTGCTCGAACCCCAGCAACGGCGGCTGCCGGGAAACGGGTTACATTTAATCGGGAAACCGGTTACTTACCGACCGAAAGGGCTCAATTGAACGTTTTTTAATAGTTCGAGGACTTAATTGAGTGTTTGTAAACTATGAGGGCCTAATCGACTTTTTTGATATAGTACGGGGGCTTATTTGATAGTTTTCCCAACATCTATATGATTACTTTGTTATCTCTATATCAATGACTAGTGAAATATAGACATTAACTAATTTATATATTGATCTATAAATTATTGATGTCTCATATCAATAATAATGGACCAGTGGCTAATTAGAATAATATGTTTATAAGAATGTGTATAATTCCATAGTTAAATCATGCCATTAACAAAGAGTTCACATATAGTTAGCTTGAAATTGAGTCCCCAACTATATTAGTAAGCATTAACTATTCAAACACAAATCATAATTTACGATTATTCTAATGCACATTTTCAATAATGTTCATAGTAAACAAATTCGAGATTTCAAATATAACATCATAATCAAGCATCACAATTATTGAAAGGGGTAGTTAAAGAGTTCATTTCAAACTTGTACGCTCAGAAGGATGATTGTCTATAGAAAATCAACATCTTCCTTCTCAACCTTTACACACGTCAAACCCGGCCTCCACCACTGCAGATTTAATGTCCTTTCATTCTCTCCATTTCATGCAACCCTTCATACGTAGCACTAAAAATGTTCTCATTCTTTTGAATGCTCTTATGCTCTGTTGATAATTTTCTATAATGGAACTTTCCTAAATACGAGTTGGTATTTTAGGAGTTTTTTTTGGGCTCAAGCTATTAGAGTTAGCTTAGGAAACAAACTCATATGGTGTCTATAAATAAAGGAGTATATATATTGAGTTATAATATACAACTATTAACAAATATATGTAGTTTCATGAGAGAGGAATGATTGTAACAAAGTTTTGGGTTATTTTCTGAATTTTCCCCATGACACAATATACAGGCCAATATACACAATATTTTGTGTGATTTGCTGCGTATAACAACATGCTCCAATACAGGCCAATTTCATATTAACTAGTAACAACTATCACCATGACACATTGACACAATATACATACTTTCAACTTTCAAGTGGTGGTGGTGAATATTTTGAACAAACTTTCTTGGGTTTGGGGTGGGCTTTGGAGCAAATCAAAGTCCGTTTAGGGGTTGGTTTGGCACCGGTCTTAGACTCTTAGACATCACCTCCTGAGTGATATGATATTAGTCCGTTTAGAGATAGTATGAAAATTAATGGTAAACATTCTTACTTGTAAGTGATTATAAAACTTTAAAAGAATTAAATTTTCACATATGAAATTTGAGAGATTAGTAGAATTTAATTAATCATATTAAACGTATATGGCTTTGTTTGCTAACTCTAGAAAAAAGCACTTCCCAGCTTTTGGCTTAAAAAAACACTTATTTTACCAAACACTACCAACTTTTACTTTTCTCGGCTTTCATGTGAAAAGTGTTTTTACTATTTCTATTACACAAAAGTACTTATTTTACCAAACACTACCAACTTTTACTACTAACCACTTTTTCCAAAAGTGCTTTTTTTTAAGAGAAGCAATATCAAAAAACCCTAAAACTTCTCTCATTAAGAGTGAATTAGTCTTATTTTATAAGGAAAAAGATCATAATGATATTGATGCATTTTATCTATGTTTTGATCTTATGTAAGGAATTTTAGCAAAAACACATACTGGTGGAGTATTAATCTAGAGAGAAGTGAAAGCTAGAGAGAGAAAGGGAACAATCAATATTTCTGAACCCCCTATAACTACCTCTATAGGAGTATTTATAGGGAAAATGTGGGTTTGGACTCCCAGGACTTGGGCATGGGAGGCCCGATACAATAATAAGGCCTCTAATGGGCAGGATACATGATTTTCGAGACTAAGTATAAAATCTAACCGGTCGGAGTCTTTTTGGCCGACGAAGGGCCTGGCTGATGGAGGGTCTGGCCGATGGAGGACCCATCTTTCGTTCCTGAGCTTCTAGGCTGTATTCTGAGATTCATTTAGTTTGGCCGCTAGAGGACCATATAGCCGATGAAGGGTCACTTGGGTGCCAGCTGTCTCTATGTTAATTTTTCCGAGTATGTGGGTCATAGGGTTCGAATCCATGTAATCTATCACATACATTGCAAACACTGTTTTTAATTTGTCCAAAGCAAAAAAGGAAAACACATTTTGTACAAACTTTTTGTTGGTTTTTTTTGTCTATGAATAGGTTATTCATTCACAAACAAAAAATCCTCACAAACGCGTGAACATTTGCATACAACAATAAAATGTGTAGAATATTCCCAAAAAAAAGAATGTGATCAAAAAAAAATTCTTGAAAACAAATTAGAAACACTTGAAAAAGACTAGTACAATTGTCCAAACTACAAAGTACAAATCTTTTTTTTTTTGAAAGAAAGTACAAACCTTCTTAAATTCTAAAAAAACAAAAGAAACAACTGCATTGGCCCTGTTGGCAATGAGGAGGACCTGAAGAAAATGGAATCCAAGGGCTATGATTGATCCACTATATTCAACCCCTACACCTACACAATGGTACCCGAAGACTTCTCCGCTCCGCTCCTTTTAAAAACCTCTAAACCAAACACCCTCTCCGCTATTCCGTTTCCCCTCTACGGATCCTTTTCCGTTCACATTGCATTGCCACCATACCAGATCCTTCCTTCTGCATCTCCCTGGAAATGGCGCGTGAAGAGAACGTCTACATGGCCAAGCTCGCCGAGCAGGCCGAGCGGTACGAGGAAATGGTGGAGTTCATGGAGAAGGTCTCCTCCTCCCTCGGCGACTCCGAAGAGCTCACGGTGGAGGAGCGAAATCTCCTCTCCGTCGCCTATAAGAACGTCATTGGCGCGCGTCGTGCCTCCTGGCGAATCATCTCCTCCATCGAGCAGAAGGAGGAGTCCAGGGGGAACGAGGACCACGTCAACGCCATCCGCGACTACAGATCTAAGATCGAGACTGAACTCTCTAAAATCTGTGACGGCATCCTGAAGCTTCTGGAGTCCAAACTCATCCCGTCCGCCTCCACCGGTGATTCCAAGGTCTTCTACCTCAAGATGAAGGGCGACTACCACCGCTACCTCGCTGAGTTCAAGACTAGCGCTGAGCGAAAGGAGGCCGCGGAAAGCACTCTCACGGCCTACAAATCTGCCCAGGTTTGGTTTTTGTTTTGAATTTGATTCCTTCACTTTCCTCCTTTGCACAGATTGATTGGTCTGGATGATGATAATTGAACAAGATTGAGTCTTGTTGGCCCTGATTAATCTTTCCATGTGTTTAACGTTAAATTAAATGACCTTATGGGAGATTAGTTACACAGATTTGTTAATTGTTATAGAGCTAGATCAACAAATGCTCTTTTATTTGAGTTGATAATCATAGAAACATGATTATCAGTTCTTACGGAGTTCTGTAGAGTAGGCTACTAGGGTTGTTAGTGCCTACTCGTATAAAGGAAATGGATGTAGCTCCTACTAATCCCTAGGGTCTAGGGAGATGCTCTTTGTCGTATTTTTCAATAGCATATTGACTTTTTTAATTTTATAATAATAAAAAGAAAAACTAAAACGTACTGAATTAGCTGGAGTGCTTAAAAGCCTGGAATTAGGTTGTAATTGTTGTGTGTTTTGAAAGGCTTTGATTGGATACTTATGGAGTACCTGTTAGGAAATTATTGAGTACCTGTTAGATAATTATTGAGTTCCTGTTAGGAAATTGGTTAAGTGTTATGCAGTTTGTCTCAAATAGTATCTTTGGCATAAGTACTCAAGCTGTGTCCTTTATGCATTATATTCTCATAAGTTTCACTTTTATGATGTATTTGAAGTTATTACAGTCTATATTGAACTTGCGTTACACTGTTACTAGAATCTACGGAGTATTAAATCAAGTCACAAGTAGAATGGCAAATACAGCTTTTAAAGCTTCTCATTACATATCAGACCAGACAATGGTTCAGGTATTGGATATTTGGATTGCCTTATAGAATATTGTATACTGATTTATACCTTATATGGCTGTGTTTGTAGGACATCGCGAATGCAGAACTTGCACCAACACATCCTATCCGTCTCGGACTGGCTCTAAACTTCTCTGTGTTTTATTATGAGATTTTGAACTCCCCTGACCGTGCTTGTAGTCTTGCAAAACAGGTTACATATCTCTGGTTTGATTTGGAGTCATACACTCATACATAAGCCTTTTCTTTAAATGGTGAATTCAGATTTCTATATCTTTGTCCATATTTGTTGTAGGCCTTTGATGAAGCCATTGCTGAGTTGGACACCCTGGGAGAGGAGTCTTACAAAGACAGCACTTTGATCATGCAACTTCTTCGTGACAATCTCACTCTCTGGACATCTGATATGCAGGTACCCTTTGCATTCTTCTCAAACAATTCTCTTACGAATGCTTAGTTTGGGACCCATAATTGGCTTTTTCTTCCCAATGCCTGAGCCAAAGACTCTTTTTATTATTTTGATCGATTCATATTTTTGCAAGTTTTATCTTTACATAAATATACCATTTTTTTATCTTCTCTTTCCTTTATCTACTTTTTCTTCATCTCTAGTACATTTTACAAGCTCTACTTTTTCATTTTAATCTCCATAAAATTCTAGCAACTAATTAAAAATGACGTGGGGAGTGTTGTTTACTGGGTTAGTCTTGGGCTCTAAATCAATTTGCTGCATTAACCATTTGCTACTGATGTGTAGGATGATGGAACTGACGAGATCAAAGAGGCTCCCAAGAAAGAAGAAGAGCAACATTAAGGGCGGTTTCCTTCTTATAAGCCTTAAGCTTCTCCATGATTGTTTTAATTTGGGGAAGTTGTTTGCTGTTATTTGCCCATGGCGTTTTAATGGGTTCTCCAAGTCCATTAAAAATGGACTGCTTAATTCAGTACTGATGATCCTTCTATCGTTTGGTCTTAGAAGTTATTAATGTGATTGTGGAAGTTCTATTTGTTTGCAGTTTTTTTTTTGAACAGTTTTGCTTGTTTCCTTGTTGGATTGGTTGGTAATTTGGTATTCATGCCTGCCGTGTTATATGAAAGCTCACAAGTTGCGTTTACACATTCTGTTATCACAGTTGCTCCGGAGTAATGTGAGGCATTACACCTTTTGTTTTGGCCGAGAATATTGGTGGAAAAGGGAGTTGAGGAACATGTAGGACTGCGTTTGGTTTAGATGAATTGGCCGTTGGGTAATTTAAACCTAAATTGATGAATGTACAAATAGTTTAAAGCAGAGTTGATCATGTATCTTCTTTGTGACAATCTGGGAATTATTTGAATACCAATCAAAGGACTGGGAATGAGGTAATTTGTCTCACAAAATATAGGAAGTAGGAACACACAAAAATGACAAAATTGATGAAAGCAACTCATATTATATCACCTGGAAAAGGATTTCTGTGCAGTGTGTACTTCTTCCATCCCAAAATGACGTTTAGAGCTTAACATGTTTTTAGGTAAGACAGAAAATAAAGTTGGGTTCTCAATATTGCCCTTGAGTAATTAGAATGTCAGAATGTGTAGGCAGTGTAGTACCTGAGTGGATTGAAATAACGAGTAACCGAATAATGAAATAGAGGTAACTTTAATAGAGGTAAAGTTATGTGAGGGTAAGATTGTAAGAAGATAAATAAACGATAAAAACTTAACAAATACTTCGTATAACGTGTAAAAAGAAGTTGAAGCAGAAACTTTATTTTGAAACATCTTGAATAAGAATGATGGAAATTAATTTTGGGACAGTAGTTGTTAAGGGTTGAAGGTATCGATTCAAATTTTGATGAGTGAGTAAGGGTGGACTCGGTCGGCGGTTCTTTACCGTACCGAAACCTGGCCCGCTACTGTATGAGATTGGACCGGGTTTGAGTTTCAGGTCCTGGGCTTAACTTGGGTACCCGACCGGGTTTGGGTTGGTTCCGGCCTCGGCTAGGCGAAATGGTGACTGGACCGGGCGGTTCTGGTTTCGATCCTAACGGCAATTTTTTTTTTAATATTTAAATTAAAGATTGGGGTTGGGGTTGGGGGCAACTAACCATTTGGAACGGCTATATAGCCATTTGAGGTTGGGGGCTAAATCTACCAGTACATAACCATTTTATTCATTCTTTCCTACAATTATACTTCTAGTCAATTTCTCTACTCTCAAATTCTCAATCTCTAATCCTACATTACTTACATTTATAATTTCATCATTCATATATTCATAAACTTAATTATCATCATCATCATCATAATTATTTATCGTCTCTAATCCTACATTCCTACCCCTACACTTTCATATTTAATATATTCATATTATAATTATATGCACTTATTATAACATATATGTTGAGTTTAATCCAACACGATATAGTAAATATATGTATGAACACTCAGTTTTTACGTGGAAACCCGAAAGGGAGAAAACCACGGGACTTTTTAGGCTAATGTCCAAGCCCTCTCTTTCTCATTAGGACTCTCCTCACCATTACATAGTACATTTTGAGCTCCCATTAATGGAGTCTTGTAAGCTAACTAAGGAGGGAGAAGAAGAAGAAGAAGAAGAAGAAAGGATCCTTTACATGGAGGCTAAGCTCCCTATTTATAGGGGAAGGAGAGAAGGGGCTCTCCACCCTAATGGGCCAAACGGGCTGATATCGGGCCTGGTGGTCAAAGTGGGCCGGATGGGCCGAAATGGGCCTAGCTGCTCGAGCTCCGTACTGGATAATGTCTTGGGCTCCTGAACAATAATAGGCCGGGATAATATATCCCAACAATATAATTAATTATAATCTCTCATCCTACATTCCTACTCCTACAGTTTCATGTGTTAATATATTTATATTATAACTATTCCTACTCGGCGTACTATAAAAGAATCCATTTGATAAAATTAAAATTGGTTGAATTCATTGAATATGTTGAGATTAGTACGGCGGAGTTTTAGTTGAATCAATTGAATTAACTTAAATTGTTGAATTATTGAGGAATGACATTTAAAATATAATTTGTATTTCGTTAAAAATAAAGAATAAGTTGTATGCAAATTGCTAAAATAATCATCTACAATTCTACATTAACTTTGGCTAATTCAACCAGAAAATAACTTAAAATGGAAAGTTCCCGAAAGAGGACTAAAATAGATTGTAAATTCCAAAATAAGACTGTCATGTCTTTTATTCCCAAAATAGGAGAAATTACTGCCAAGTTTGGAAAATAATGTCATGTTTGAAGTTTGGTACTGCAAAAACATGGTAGTAATTAGTCCTATTTTGGGAATAAAAACATGTCAGTCCTATTTTAGAAATTTCTAACCTTTTTAGTTCTATTTCGGGTAATATTCTCAACTTAAAATGATGTGTTTGATAAAAATATTGATTGATAAGCTCCCAATATTACAATGGGTTCATTTTTATTGAAATATTATAATGATGATTGTGACCAAAGTCGTGCCTTCCTTAAGGTTGGTGAGGCATGGGCCTCGGGGCCCCAAAATGTTAAAAATTAGGTGTCTAAAAATTTATATATCTTTATATATATGTATTCAAACCTTTTAAAAAATATATATGTATTCAAAATAAAAAAAACATAATTAAACTACACTTATTGTCTGGCTTAAACGGTCCGCTACAAAAGTAACAAAACTGACAAATTAATAGAGTAATCGACCAAATAGTGAAGTATAAAGCTCGAACTCTCGAATTCGCTAATATGTTAACAAGTATTATTTTCAAATTTTTTCTAGCTTTTATTTTGATTTGCTAATTTGATGAACTATTGATTTGTGAATTACTAAATGTAATAATTTGTTCATTTCTAATTCTAATTTCAATAATTAATGATTAATTCTTATATTATTGGTTGGGATTTGAAGTATTTGCATAAACAGATGCTATATAAGATTTAAAAGCAAGTTGATTCTTGCTTGTTTTACAAAGTAGTCAAGCGCGCATGCCTTGGTGAAAGTTTTATATTTTTTAGATTTGAGACATACGTTTTTATAAGGTTATAAAGATAGGAATTGTGGAATTCTCACTCCACAATTAATCAAAAAGAGAGTTCTCCAATTAAGACTAAATTAAACTTTAATTGCCAAAATAGGACCATGACTTAAAAATTCCCTATATAGGACTAGTTTTCCAATTCTACCCTTTCTTTGTTTTAATACAATTCATATTTCATTGGTAATTAAATATAAAGTAATAAGCATAACTTTATTTGTAATAAAAATGTAAAAAACAAATAAAAAACATTAAACGAAAATTAAAAATAAAAAAATTAAAAAAAATTGAATAATAAGAATTTATAGAATAAAAAACTTAGAAAATAGAAATAAAATAAATAAATAATGTAAAAAATATAAAAATAATTATGTAGGCCTATGATGCTGCCTCAGCAACCTCCCGGTACCACCATCTTCGATCACCCCAAAAAATGCCAACATTTGTCCCAAATGCCATCTTGATGGCAGTTTTTGAGAAAAAATTTGGCATTTTCAAGAGTAAAAATGCTATCTTCATGGCATTTTCATAGAAAATGACAGTTTTACACTAAATGGCTTGTTTTAGCCGATCAGAGATAAAGTTACTGGGCAGTAGCCGAGACTGTGGGAAAGGCCTCCATATTTTTTATTTATTTTTTAAGGTGTTTTATCTATTTTTATGATCCCATTAAGTTGTGATAAGAGTAGAATATGAAGATAGAACATACTTTAATCCCATTTGGAGAAAATAAATAACGTAGTCTTATTTATGCATTTAGGGATTAATGTAGTCCTATTTAGGATTACTATCTCTTAATCAAACTATATGCTTTATATTTGTACAAAAACGGAAAGTGTAAAATTTTTCACTGTTCACAAATATTCTTTACCAAAAGACACAAAACATGCGATTGATGAGGTGAATTATTTGAAAATGATGGATGAATGTTTTTCTAACGCGTGTATTACATATAAAATACTATACTCGTGACAGTAGAAAGTGCAGAAAGAAGTTTCTCACAACTCGGGCTTATAAAGACATTTTCACGATCAATCATGTCTCTCAAGAGAATTAACTATGTTATCAAATTGACAATGAATTTATTGAAGACCAAGGTTTTGCTGAAATGATTAATAGTTTTACATCCAAAACTGTTCGGCGAGTTTTATTTAATTAGTTGTTTTCATATTCGATATCGTTATTTTATAATGTAGGATCTTTATGTAAGTATTGATCTTTTTTGGTATTGATTTTTTATATTAAAAGATGTTCTTTTACAAAAAATACTCCCTCCATGCCATTTTACTTGTCTTACTTTCTTTTTTATTATAATCAAAATACAACCACAACTTTAATTCTTTCAAACACTTTATTATTAATTGTGCCAAATCAAAGCAGAACAAATAAAATGGGACAGAGACAGTACCAGGGGCTATTTTATGAATCTCGACTCAAGCCTAATTTATGTAGGATCGACACTGATTGACTGACCTGCACTACACGTTTTGTTTCATATATATTTGCCTTCAATGTGTGTGGGGCGCGTCTGATTTTGCAATAATGTATATGGGATAATAATGTAGTACCCCAAATATATATAGTAGTCCCTCAGTATCTAATTAAATGTCCCACTTTCATTTTTGGGGGTGTATCAAATCAGTTATCTCATTTTCATTTTAAGTACGAAACTCACTCAAAAAGCAGCAACAATATCACTACGATACCGTTACGACACCAAACCCTTTTACTTTTATAAAGCCTATAATGACGGTCTTAAATTCTGTGTAAAGAAAGCGGAACAATAATTAGATACGGAGAGAGGGTAATATTTGGAATTATAAGTTTTTTTTTGGAAGAAAGTGGCTTATATTAATAAGATCAAACGCAAGAAGGATACAAACCGACAAAGAGCCAAATGCCTACCGTCTGCCTGTGAACCAGACTTAGAACCTGCCACCTCATAAGAAGCAACCAGATTCGCTGGTCCTGAATTGGGCTTACTTGAGCCAATGACTGGTAAACCCAGCTCTCTATCACCTGTCCTATGTTCAAGAGTTCTGACTGAAATAAAAATAACAACAAACAAGAGTACTCGA